AGGTTTTATGATAATAAAAGTTACACTTAGGCAAAAATGAGAAGTGGAAAATAAAGATAAGCATATGAAACACAACTAGACCAAATCCAAGAAAACAGTCATGCACTGTTACACTTCTCAGTGACCTCAGTACCACCGTTTAAACAAGGAAAGAAAACAATCGGTGACTTTTTATAAATATATAACGTTTAACTTTTTACTTTTTCCAGTTTAAACTTGGTCTGTTTAAAGGACATTCCAGAAATATTCCAATGCATTTCTTAAAATGATCTGGGTCTTCCTAGAGTCAAAGTCAAAACCCGTTTTCACATGAAATTGCTGCTGCTCCCCAGCATTTCTCTGAAAACAAGCACTGTGGTCTCATCAGAAGGTCCTGAGCCAAAGCAAGTCTCAGCAAGTCAGAATTCTGTATAAGGACGGATAGAGAGATGTGTCTCTGTGTATACTTTGAGGGTCGGGGGTGCTGAGACAAGGTCTCGCCCCATATGTAGTCCAGGCCATGCTTGAACAACTTATATAGCCCAGGCTAGCCTTGAACTCAGGACCTTCCTGCCTCAGCCTCCCCAGTATTGACATTATAGGCTTGCTCCTCCACACAAGTATGGTTCTGTCCACACTTTTTAAGAGGAAACTATGTCTCTAGAATAGCTTATAATTTACTGAGTATAGGCGTCTAAGAGTTCAAGTATACCAAATACCTTCCCACTTAATAAACCATACTTTATTTAAAAGATTTTTCCAGCAAAGCTTGTTTTATTAATTGTGAGGTATTAGTCTCAACAAAAAATCCCCTTGAAAATTTCAGAACCACATAATGCTTAGGTAAATCCACTGCCCTAATCTTCAATTTTGTAAACAAGTCTGGCTTTCATGTATTCAGTCCCATGTTCTCTCCCAGGGAATCATTAAAATATCCTAGCAATTGTAGCATTTTGGCAAAAAAAAAAATACAATATCATAATACGAACATATGTAATTCAAAAATCATTGTAAGCCAAAGAGAGTGAAGAATCATAAGCCCAAGGAACACTTCAATTAGTGGTAGAGCTAGTACGAAATTTTTAAAACCTGACATGTGCTGATTAAAAGATTTTTTCCCCTCTGATCTGTAGAAAATTCTTGGTAAGATTTCTGTGTATCAGCTAAAAATATTAACATCCACAGCATTTGCCTTTGTGTCCCCAACAGGAGAAAAAACGCATTTATTCAACAAATAACATTTTGGGTGCCTCTTTGCCAACCATGCACTAAAAACACAGTTATACAAATACAAAAGTAGATAGAATCCTCACATATGCGTGGCCTGGTTTTAGTAATTATCATCTCTTCACCAACTGCAATTCTACCCCCATAAAAGCTTGAAAACAAATATCTGAAGTCCTAACATTTTATCTGTAGTAGTCAAATATTTACACTTGATTTTAAACATAAGTCTGACATCATGATGCCACTCTCCAAATGAAAATAATTGCTAAATGGCATAAAATAAACGGTATTCAAATTTCCCTGATTGTCTTACAAATTTTTTAACAGTTTATTCAACCCAGCTTTACACTTTGCAAGTGGTTCAGAAGGGTCTTTTAATATATAGTTTCCCCTTTGCTTTAGTTTGAGTTCCTCCAGAACTGAGCCCAAGGACAAGGACTCCAGTATTTGTCGCTTATTTGTGCAAGGGATATTGTCAGGGAGAGAGGAAGGGGTACAGGGAAGAAAAGGCAACCCACAGTGGGTGAGCAGCTAAGTAATTTACCAGGGGATGAATGAAGCTTAATCCTTCGGGGAAATTCTTGCAGTAGGTATAAGCAGACATATGCACCTCTGAATTATCCCCTGGAGAGTTAAAGGAGCTTGGGTACCCAACCATTCACAGTATTTAATCATTGCTTCTGACGTCATTCATTGCTTGGCACTTCTGGCCTTTTAAAATTGGCAAAAGCAGCGTTCCAAGGCTCCAGGGAGAAAGCTCAGGCACAGAGAGGCAGCTGGAAGGAAGCCAGGCTAGGTACAAACCCATAGAAGGCATGAAGCATCTTGGGGCACACCAGCGGTGTCTACAGCATCCTGGCTCTTGTACCTCTTTGCCACTGACGTGATGAAGAAACTGGGTCCATCTGCCCTGTAGAATTTCCAGCATTCTGGAGTTTTCATCCACCTGCTGTCTTTTAATATGACAGTTCACTGTTCCCTGCATTACCTGTTCTCTCTCTCTCTCTCTCTCTCATAGTCTAAGCACTTATAATCAGGTATTCTATCAACAACATCACCATTGCTAGTTACAGAACTTTCATGAGCAGATATATAATGACCAATTTTCTCTCTGTGGGATTGATGCGACAAATTTGTGACTAAGGCCATTATTTCATTAGAGTGGGAAGATTTTCTAAATCTTGTTCCTTATTTATTTATTAGTAGTAACATCTCTGTAACGGAAAGGCTTCCTTACATTAGCTATTTGCAACTCAGGGTACAGCCATTATAGGAAAGGAAGGATAGATACTTGATCCTTTCAATTATCAGTTCTCAAAATAATGAGTTGATTTCCCAGAATTCTGTGTAAGTGGCCAAGTGCCTTACTTCTTATGAACTCATAGATTTAAACATATATGCTGTATCTCAATATATCACTCAAATTTTCCCACTTTTTGGCTGATAAGATTTGGCCAGGTATTGACTTTAGATTGTCAGCCCTTTTTGCTATAACTTTGGGAGTTACTGAAATGAATGGTCTTGCTTTATGGGATAATAGTACGTTCCAAGAAAGATTTTCAATGTGTTCCTTCCTAAATTAATGTATTGAAGCTTAATTCTTTTGTGGTAGTGTTGGGAGGTGGAGCCTTTAGGGAAGTGATTAAGTCATGGAAAGGGGTGGGGTAGATTAGCACCTTGGAAAGGGACTGTAGGAAACACACCCAGACTCTTTTCACCCTTCTGCCTTCCACCATGTGAAGACACAGTGTTTACTGCTTCTTGAAGATGCAGGGCCTGGTGCCATCTTGGAAGCAGAGACTGGGCCCTCACAAGACACTGAACATGCCAGTGACTTGATCTTGGCTTCCCTTCTCCATAATTGTGAAAAATAAAATTCTTTTCCTTATAAAGTACTGAGTCTCAGGTATTTTGTTACAGCAGTGTAAGTGAACTAACACAAGGACCTGCCTGACTTTTTTCTCCCCAGCCTTTGAATTAGTGGACTCTATAGTATGGGAACTCATTGCTGCTTCACTAGTCATTATTTCTAGGCTTTTTTGGTGGGCAGAGCCAGAAAAACGTTTTTATTAAGAGAAAATGCATCATGAGTTCATAATGATGTTTTCAAGTTTTTTGTTGTTGTTGTTTTTTCTTTTTTGGTACCTGGAATTTAATCCAGGACCTTGTGCTTGCAAGGCAGGTGGCAGAACCACTGAGCTAAATCCCCGGCCCAAGTTTTTTTTTAAAAATTAGTTTTATTGGCACAGTTTTGATATACATAATGATCATACTCATCATAGAGAATTTGTACCTGTACATAATATATCTCAACTCTTTCTTTCCCCAAACCCTTGCCTTCCCTTCAACCTTTCTTTCCCTCCTTATTTACAAAACATGGTTTCCCTTTTTTCTAGAATTATAAGGTTGGTACATCTTTGCTTTTACATTTTTTTCTCATACTCATATCTTGGTTATTAAGAATATAAACATAACTGCTGGATATTTTCCCAAAATAATTTAAAGAATCATACCATGGTGATATGCCCACCCATGTTTATAGTGGCTCAGTTTGTAATAGCTAAAACTTGGAAACAGCACAAATGCCCATCAGCTGGAGACTGGATAAAGAAGATGTGGGTTTTTTTAAATAAAATGGAGTACTACTCAGTCATAAAGAACAGGAAACTAGAGACATTTATAGCTAAGTGGATGCACATCAAAGCCATACTCTTAAGTGAAATAAATAGGACGCACATGTGTAAATACCGACTAGTTTCTCTGGTGTGAAAGACTGAAAGCATAAATAAGAATCAAAATGTATAGTTAATATTGTGAAATAGGAATAAAGCATCTAAAGGAGTAGGGGAAGTGGGAGGAGTGGTGGAAAGCAAAGGAAGGAAAAGAAAAATATGAGAAAAGGAAAAAACATGGAAACAAAGTCTTTATAAAGAGAGAAGGGTGGAGACGATAAGGGAGGGAAGGGGCATGGGGGAAAATAAGAACCAAGACAAGTCATGTAAAGGTACAAGATCCCAAAGATGAATGCAACTGTACTGTATACCTAAAATGTACCAATAAACATAATGGGGGTAAAAAAGAATATAAACATAATTAGTAAGTTGCCATATCCTGTAACATATACCATAGTTTCATAATGACTAGTAATATTATATATAGCATGTTACCTGAAAGTACCTTAAACTGTGTGTGGTGCCACATGCCTGCAATCCCAGCATTCTGGGAGGCTGAGGCAGAAGGATCATGAGTTCTAGCCCAGTTTGAGCAACTTAGCAACTCAGCAATTTATCAAGACCTGTCTCAAAATTTTTTTAGAAAAGGGAGTTGGGAGTGGGGCTGAATTGTAGCTCAGTGCAGAAGCCTTGAGTTCAATCCCCAGTATTGAAAAAAAAAGAAAAGACAAAGCACCTTAAAGTGTATTTTCAATTCATTTTATTCTTATGATATACACCATAATGTTTATACCCCGTTTTTCAGTCACTGAAAATAATTCCCCTTTGTGTAACTACCTCAATGAAGTAATTTTTATTTTGCTTTGAGTCTTTAGGAATTTTTTAAAATATAATTTTAAATTTGTAAAAATGTTGTATAGTTTCAAAATAAAATGTACAAAGCATAGCCAGAAACGGTATTTATCCACACTTCCTCCAATCTGTTCCTGTGCAGGTAGCCAGTTTCTAAGTTTTTCAATTTTGTTTTATTATGTGATGCTTTAGTATAAAAAATGCTATACTTGCCATGTTTTTGGATAAGTGGCAGCATATTATATACTCATTTCATCATGTATTTTCTAGGTACTTATGCATCCTGTGGTGTATACAGAGATAGTAGCACAGAGAGAAAATTGTGTACAGTCACAGGATTCTCTGCTGATGGATGTTCCCTGCTGAGAAGCATTTGGGTTATTTCCTGCATTGAGGTAATGAATGACCTCCTGTAGGTAGGTTATAAATAAGCTTTGAAGCTTCAAAAACATAAATATTCTAAAACGCTAGTTTGGAAATTGTTAATAACTCCAGCAACCTGGCACCAGTCTTCAATGGGTTCTTTCTTTCTCTAGTACCTCATCGGTTCTTTTTACAAGTGTAGTCTTTGTCAAAAGTCAGTGGGTGGTTATGATAGGATGAAATACATAGCTGGTCTTTGTCCCTATTGAGTACAATGTCCTATTTCATAAGCCTCACACTCTATATCTGAACTAGGTAGGAAAAGAAGACCCAGGGAAGCAATGTCAGTGGCAGACAATAGTTACCTGAAAGCAGGAAATGGCAGTGACTAAGCAAATGATCACCAACTGATTCTGAGCAGGTTAAATATTTACTCAGATGACAGCAGTAAGACATTTTTAATTGTTACCTGCTGTCACCAATATTTAGCTACTGTCCATTGTGTTTGAGGACCATATTATGCATCTAGAAAAAAAACAAACAAAAAGCTCAATTTGCCGAAAGGGTTCTGGGAGAATACACAATCATGGGCAGACAAGTGTCTAAGAATGTTTATAGCCTGCGCGCATGGATGAATCCTAGTTATACAAAAAACACCTGTCTGCATGACCCCCCCCCGGGAGGCATTAAAAGTACACAGAATTAAGATGTTCTTCTTTGAGGCTGTAAGATTTCGTACAGGACCATGCTGCATCAAGAGTACATGAATCGGGTAATGATGAAGAGTTGAGAGGGCCGCGAACACGGGGCCTGTGGAGAGAGGAGAGCCCCAGCTCTCCAGGAAGCTGCAGGAGGAGAGCATGTGTGCGAAAGTCAGCACAGACCCCTCCCAAGTTGGATCCAGTGACGCAGGCAACCTCAGAGACTGTCTCAAAGCTTTGGGAAGTTTGGTCTCATATTGCTTTTTGACAATTTTCATCCAACTAAGTAAACCTACAGAGGAAAAGAAGAACAGCCCTACCAAATTCAGAACAAAGGCAGCCAAGGCTTTTAGGGAAGGTGACCTGTTCTGGTCAGAAGTGAAGCTAAAATTGGGTAGCAGAGCATTTAGCGGAAATGAACAACGAGGAAGTAAAAATGGAAAAGTAGATTTCCCCACTTGTACAGAGTAAAATGCACTACATCAAAAACTGCATAACACCATTCCCCACACAAAACAGAGCAGAACAGGATGATGTAATTCAACAAAATACTGCAACCCCAATAATGGAGTAGAAAAACATGTTTTTTACCCAAAAGAGCGTGAATGTTTGCAGTGATAAGCTTGTAATAGGAAACATGTTATTGAACCTCTGCAACGTAAACTTGTTGTTGAACAACCTGTACCCCATATGTGTGATAAGACCCGAACCAGTGCCACAGACCCCCAGTTAGAATGGTATAAAAGAGAGCGCACAGAAGACCAGCTCGTCCCACTCAGTGACCAATCCAGCTCGACGGCAACCTGCCAGGTGAGATCTTAGAGGAGACCTCCATCGAGACATCTCTCGGACGCCTGCCTGGAGTGGACCCCCGGATCGAGGAGGAGGCAACTGGAGCGAACACCGCAATCATCAGGAAAGGAGAAATAAAGTCGCGCTCCTTGGACTTATGCAGGTACAGGGAGTGGCAGCTGGCAGGTATGAATTAACATGCTTGATGTGACATAGATAATATATATAAAAAGCTAGTCGGCAACTACTACTGTCTCGACCTGCAGTTAATGCACACTCCTGCTCACGACACCACTATATATGTGTGTGGCTGTGGAAAATAAAATGATACTCAAGTATAGTCAAAGAGAAGACTGTGTTTTAAGTAAGAAAGCACTGCAGACTGAGACGATCTAACCAGAACTACAGCTGTGAAATTCCGTGAGAGTGTGTCTAACCAGCAGTGTAACCTGGGGTCTGGGCATCAAACCCTTATTCCTCCCAGTCAAGTCCAAAGTCCTACCAGCAGCCTGGCAGATTCTCCCTAGGGAGGCAAGGACCTTGAACTTTGCTACTTTATTATGTAAAGAGAAGCACCTGACATATGAGCCTTAGCGGCTGAAAGGCCTTCCGAAAACAATGCCTCAGGCTTCAACAAAAGAAAGGAAGTGAAAGCCAACCTCTACTCACATCCTCCTCCTTAGACACCGTGACTCAGCACCATCGTGCTTTTTTTTTTTTTTTTTTTTTTTTT